GCTCAAACGCGACGAAATAGGAGTCCACTTCGGTCTCTCTAAATGGCGGTACAAGTCTAATATACCTGCTAACGTCAAAATCAGATTGTGACTCAGAAGGTGAATCAGAGGAGCTTTGATTAAGGGTCTGCGCAGAATCTACTATTGGCATCCCAGCTGATGAACCAGCAGATCTAATCCGAGGTGATGGAGTGGGTCTGCTACGTAATCTTAGAGCCTCCATCTCATTTCCATGTCGCTCACTATCCCGTGCTCGTTCAGCTTCTATTACTCGAAGCCTGATGCGCTGAGCCTCACATTCTTGTCGCTTTAACTCAAGATCTAATTCTTTTAGCTTAATTTCCAATACAGCATCAGAACCAGAATCTTTTGAATCCATGTTGAGAACCGAATCAAAGCCAACAGTCTCAGATTCTTTCCCAACCTCCCCACCTGACGCAGCCAAAATGCCAGCTTCTACCAACTTCCCAAATAAATCCTCTTTGATAGCCTGTTTACTCGCCTCTGTAAGTATACTAATGTTAAAGAAGTCTGCAATGGAAATTAAATCCCTTTTACGACAACGATTATATACTTCCACAGTGGGAAGTAACGTAAACTAGATTAAATCAAACTCCATATCTTAATCACTAACTTCTCCCACATCAAAAGAGCAAAAACAGCCAGGCAAAAACAAAGAGAAAAAAAGGACACTTACCATTTACAAATTTGATCATCCACCAGCGGAATAACTTTCAATGTTGTTTCAAATAACACCGATAACATCAATTTGTTACCACTTTGTTAGACGAGCCCCCAAATTCTGTTACGTTCCCAGTTAGTCTAGGGTTAGAGGAACAGGTAACAGAATAAAACGGTGATGTGTGGAGGCAGCAAGGTTCAATTCCCAACCCCAGAGCTTTAACAAAGGCCAAGAATCTCGATATCAAAACAAGTTATTTTATTTGACAGATATGGGAGGATGTCAAAACTTCAAGAGGGGGCAAGGCCAAAATAACAAACATAAACCCTCTAACTATTTGGGAGAAACTAACTAAGCTATACAAAGAAAAGAGAACAAAAATACAATAGATATAACTACCTCCCTAACTAGCATAAACAAGAGAAAAACAAGATAAAGAAAATGGCACCCACCTCTCTACTAACACATTCCCAATAAATTAACAATGTAAGTTTAATAGATAACAAACAATAACATAAGTAGGGACAAACAAATAGTAACTTCCAAAACAAACCAGATTTCTTGTCGTAGGCATCAATTACCACAAGAGTGTTAACACAATAACACTGTAAAGAAATCATTCAACAAAGTATTAACCAAAACAACTAATCAAGCTTTTTGGGTTGAGAATAGAAGCCTCACGACGCAGCCTCCACACACCCCTTGCGCTGTGCAATGGTGCTGCTTAAATCCTCACTGCTTCCCCTCCTCCTGCAATCACATCAGATCACCAATCATTGGAATCAGGTGGCAGCCATTACCTCCTGCTTATAGGAAGTAAAAGGGATAGAGAGAGAAACAGGGAGAGAACAAACAAAAGAAAAAACAAATACGTCCTTGGACGTAACAGTAATGCATTACAATATCGCGTTACTCCCTTAAAGTAACTAACTACGTTACTTATGGAAAGTAATGGGTTACGTTACTTTTGCATTACTTTTCAAATCTGGGCTGGGCTTGCTTGTTTGTTGCTGGTCCCCACTGACTTCCATAATACATGGAAGTCAATGAGGACCAGCAACTGTTTGGTGACTAAATAATGACCGAATTTAAATTTTTGGGTGAATTATCCCATTAATAAAGGCAAACAATATAATGGCAAAAAATAAAGTATTGTTGAGCAAAGACTTGTTATTTACTGTAAATAACTGCATTTTCGTCTTTCAGATTTGGGACACGGCGGGTCAGGAGCGCTTTCAGTCTCTGGGCGTGGCGTTCTACAGAGGGGCGGACTGCTGCGTGCTGGTTTACGACGTCACGGCACCAACTACATTCAAGACTATGGACAGCTGGAGGGACGAGTTTCTCATTCAGGCCAGTCCTCGTGACCCGGAGAACTTCCCCTTTGTTGTGCTGGGCAACAAAATCGACCTGGAGAACCGGCAGGTCAGTCTGCAGACTGGAACGCCTTGGTTTTAAAGGGTTCAAATTCGTAGAACGACTGCATGAGCGGTGTGTTTTCAATGGTTGATATAATATAATGAGATGTGCACTATACCATTCAAAAGTTGGGGGTCGGTAACTTCTTTCAAAATCATAAATGATAATAATAATAATAATTCCAAACTTTTGAATGCTAGTGTAATTCCTATATGGAATATTCCTAAATCTGTAAGTAAATGTCCTTGGTCATAATTTACCCCAAAATTTAAAAAAAAAAATGAAAATATGAAAATGAGCAAAAAGATTTGTTTTAAATAAATGAATACTTCTATGCAGCAGGGATTCTTTGAATTGTTCAAAAGTGACAGTAAAGACTATTTCAAATAAATACTGTTCTTTTAAACTTTCTATTCATCAAAGAATCCTTAAAAAAGCATAACAGTTTCCAAAAAAAAAGCAGCAGCACAGCTGTTTTCAACATTGATAATAATCAGAAATGTTTCTTGAACAGCAAATCAGCATATTAGAATGATTTCTGAAGGATCATGTGACACCCAAAATTGTAATGGTAGTCTATGTGAAGGACCCTTATTGGCCAATGATCTCATAAATAGGCAAATAGCCAGAATTAGAACTGGAAACATTGTCTATCAAGAGAATATCAAGTGACTTAAAAAAAATATATATATAAGCCATGTTGTAATTCATCATTTCATCCCCAGATCCTTTGTATTTTGTGCAGGTGACGACAAAGCGAGCTCAAGCGTGGTGTCAGAGTAAGAACAACATCCCCTATTTTGAGACCAGTGCCAAAGAAGCCATTAACGTGGACCAGGCCTTCCAAACTATCGCTCGCAATGCACTCAAACAGGTACAGGAAGCTGTGAATACCTGTCTTTCAGAAATACGATTCAACAAAATCAAACTGTTACAAATATGTCCCTTTTAATAAGCTTACTCACCAGATGGCCTTTATAGATACTCTTTGATACCAGATGAAAAATAATCTGGCAATAATCAGTAATTTATTGCCTTGTTAAAAAGATAGTTCACCAAAAAAAAAGGAAAATTGTGTCTTGATACAATTTACTCACCAAACCTATTAACTTTCTTCTATAGAACACAAAAGGAAACATTTAGTAGAATGTTCATGCTGCTCTTTTCAGTACAAAAAACTCATTTGTGAATATTCAGATATGCTGTATGAAACGGATTTAATGTCCGTGATGTTAGAGATTCAGAATATTAGACTTAAACATGGGTCGCGGAAGCGGGGGGCCCGCCCGGGTTACTTTTGAAGTCTGGTACAAATATGACATGGGCTAGAAAAATACATATGAGCCTTATATAGCCTATGTATGCACGTTTAATCATTAAAAGATCGCGATCTTGATTCAAACACATGCGATCTTATTTTAAATTACATATTTCGTTTGGTTGTCTGTTTTGTTTTCAGAATCATGGGAGAAGCATAGCTTAAAAATACATAGGCTAATATATGTGGCAACAAGGGGTGTGAAGTAACGAATTGCAAATACTCATGTTACAGTAATTAAGTAGTTTTTATCAGTAATTGTACTTTTTTGAGTAGTTTAAAAATTTAAAATGTGTAAATTGCGGTGTACAGCGTTTATTATGAGGGGGTAGAATCCACAGCTCAGTACTCACTACTCAATACTCATGAGTACTTTTAAATAGGCTACTCTTTTACTCTTACTCAAGTAGTTTTTTGGACAAGTACTTTTACTCTACTCACACTACATTTTTTGGAAGGTAATGAATGTTAATATGAAAATAAGTCATATGAATTATTTTTATGGGACTTGTCCTTTCTTGGATCATTTGAGCCACTGCTTTCATTGTATGGACAAATTTAACATGAACATTCTGCAACATTTCTTCTTTTTTGTTTTATGTAAAAAAGAAAGTCAGTTTTTGAATGGCATGGGTGAGTAAACAATGCCATAGAAGAACAATTTTCGGTTCCCCAAAGAACCTTTCTGAACAATTTTTAAAATAACATTTTTTTTTCTCAGTTTGAAGAACATTTTGAAAATCTAGATAAACTTGTCCACTGTTAAGAACCTTTTGTGGAATGAAAACATTCTAAACTTTTAAAAATAAATAAAGGTTCCAAAAGTGATGCCACTGAAGAGCCAATTTAGAACCTTTAAGTTGACCATTTTTTTCTTCGTCTGAAAAACTTTGTAATAATCTGAAGAACCTTTTTCCACTATAAAAAAACCTTTTGTTCAATGGAAAGGTTGCATGAATGGTAAAGTTTCTTCATGGAAGGAACCATCAATGCCAATAAAGAACCTTCATTTTTAGGAATGTATTTAACTGGCTGCGTTTTGTCGTTAAATAAACACTAAATCTGAAATGAATTTAACTTTCAGGAGTCGGTGGAGACGTATGACTTCCCTGACCAGATTAAACTAACAGACAGACCTGTGTCTAGCAGTGATGGCTGCAGCTGCTGAAGGAAAGATCAAACTGGGGATGGGAAGAGAAAGAGCCATCATGGGAAAGGGAGAAAGCGAGATGGAAAAGATCCAGGCCTGTTATTCTAGCATCCATCCTCCCCTTTTCCTCCTTGAAAACCTCCAGGGTATCAAATGCCACGTGTGAAAGCTGAACATCCATTTTCTTGCTGAACTCCAAGTAAACGTGTGGTATGATAAACTATCGAGGAACAGGAAGACCAATGTGTTGCGTATCCTCTGACATTGCATTTATTACGAGTCCTGCTATCACTACAGCTGTCCCGAGAATTTCTGCTGTCTGAGCAATTTGATTTTCTTTTCTCAGAAATGATTCTTTGGTCTGCTAGTTCGTTGTGCCTTTTTAATTCTTACTTTTGGTTATTGATATCAATGTTTCGCTCCTATGCTGAATGAATATTCATAAAAAAAGACATTACATGTGTAATAGGGCTGGGAAATATAATAATATGAATAAAATGTTTTATCTGCCATTTAAAATCAACCATTTGTTTACAAATTTTTTTTACACCGTAGCTTCAGAGTAAAAAAAAATGAGTTGGGAGTTCTTCAGATCAGTTAAATTATTTGATTTATCACTCAAAAATGACTATGGAAGTCCCCGTTTCACATTTCAAATGTTTTAAAATTTAAAAAGTAGGTAATTATTGTTTTGTTTTTTTTTAATTATGCCTTTTTAATTCTTACTTTTGGTTATTGATATCAATGTTTCGCTCCTATGCTGAATGAATATTCATAAAAAAAGACATTACATGTGTAATAGGGCTGGGAAATATAATATGAATAAAATGTTTTATCTGCCATTTAAAATCAACCATTTGTTTACACATTTTTTTTACACCGTAGCTTCAGAGTAAAAAAAAATGAGTTGGGAGTTCTTCAGATCAGTTAAATTATTTGATTTATCACTCAAAAATGACTATGGAAGTCCCCGTTTCACATTTCAAATGTTTTAAAATTTAAAAAGTAGGTAATTATTGTTTTGTTTTTTTTTAATTAGTGTGCGCATAAAAATTATTAAATATGATTTTTACCTGTGTCCATGTAGGAAAAAGTTGTGGAAAATATGCCTCGATTTTTTAAAACTAGATTTTTACTGTATTTTTTACTTCAGAAAAAATTGCTGTTTGTTTGAAATGATAGTTCCTCTAAATAAATACATCAAGGCAAATGACTGTTGTCAAAAGATAAAAATAACAATAATATATGATTTCTTCACTCATCTCCCAGCCCTACTATGTAACTTCAAAAAAAATTGAATATGGATGTGGTAACAGTGCATTACCTTGAACATAAGGGTACTTAGATTAAAAATTATTAAATATGATTTTTACCTGTGTCCATGTAGGAAAAAGTTGTGGAAAATATGCCTCGATTTTTTTTAAAACTAGATTTTTACTGTATTTTTTACTTCAGAAAAAATTGCTGTTTGTTTGAAATGATAGTTCCTATAAATACATCAGGGCAAATGACTGTTGTCAAAAGATAAAAATAACAATAATATATGATTTCTTCACTCATCTCCCAGCCCTACTATGTAACTTCAAAAAAAATTGAATATGGATGTGGTAACAGTGCATTACCTTGAACATAAGGGTACTTAGATTTTCTAGGTTGACTAAAACATTAAAGCTGAAATCATTTTAGTCTTAGTTGGACTAAGTACTTCTGAAAATGTTTTAAGCCACTTAGTTGTCTCTGTAACATATTTCACTCACACCAGTTATAATGGTTTACAAAACATGTACATTTTTATAGCTGTTGAGTATGTCGGTGTGTTTCATGAAGAGGTCATGTATTAATTAATCAGGTTAGAAGCACACTAATGGTGTTAGGTCATGCTTAACTCAAGTGTTTTGATTTGCCTTTGGACATTTATATGCTATGCTTGTATTCATTAATATATATCCATACTCAACCCAAGAGCTCCTCACTTTTATATGCCAAAAAGGAAAAAAATGTAGGCATAATTTTTATTTTGGCCAAATGTAAGAATGACACCAAAACCAAAAAAATAAAGATGCATTTACAACCAAGCCCGGCTGTTAATTCCACATTTAAAAAAACATTTTAAAATGATCAAGCTGATCAAGAACACTTTTTATTGTCTCTCAATAATTTGCACACAATATTTACAAAGTTGCACTAAAAGCACCACTGGTTTCCTCTTGTAGATCAGAGAAGCCCCTTCAAGTCCACATGAAACATCTCAGTCCCTGACCGTGGCTCGTCCACTGTTTCCATCAGTCTAGTGTGTTTTAGTCCATGTATGAGGTATCCATGCCTTCTGTCTCTGGATGCAGCAGACGGCTGGCCAGACGCTCAATGTCATCCAGACTCACCTGTCGGAGCGAGCGCTCATAATCCTGACAACAAGAAAAGATGACGTTAACCTTGGTTCCTATTACCTATTATTTATGACATACAAAAAGATGTTCCACTATTCTAATCATGACCAATGATTTTATAATACTTTTACAGTGTTCATTTCTAACGCATCTAACAAATTTAATATTGTTACTTGATTCTGCTTTCTACAAGACTGATGAAATCGTAAGCAGTGTTGTTATTGTTCACAAAAGCTATTAAAAAACCTTTTCGTTAAATGTAGAGATGCACCGATCGACCGGCCAGGAACCGGAATCAGCCGATTTTCCGGTTTTCCGAGCCGGTCTGTTTTGATGTCTCAGATATGCTCTTACATCTGCATGTAAGCATGTCGCCGACTCGCCGGCATGGAAGTTCTTCACTGTGAGTGAAGAAGACACAAAGTTCGCAATCTGTAATACATGTAGGGCCAAAGTAAACCGTGGGGGAACCACAGGGCTCGAATAATGCTTGTCCGGGACTAGGGGTGTGCGATATAAATCGTCTGCGATAATAGCGTAATTGTTGTTTTAACGATGTGTGATTTGAGATTATCGCCAAAACCAAACAAAACACACAGTGCACGCATACATTACTTGAAGTATTGTGAGTGCGCATTTACAGTGTGTTCTTTCACTGCATGATTCAGTCTATTAAAATGCGTTTAGAATGATCACACATTCAAGATATGGGGGCAGAAAATGTGTATTTCTATCATTTCATATAGTTAATCAATATCACACAAAGATTGCTGTTTTTTCTTGTGATATTGATTTTATACCTGCTAGCTGCTCTCACTGCAGATTCACTCACTTCAGCTGATATGTCAAGACTTTGTAAAAGAGCATAATAGGACCCCTTTAAAGTATCTTTTTATTTTTTTTAATAATTTCAAATATCAGTATTCTATGGAAGCCTGTTTCCGCCACTGAATAAAAAATAAAACAAGGTAATTGTGACTTTTTATCTCACAATTCTGACTTTTATTCTCAGAATTGCGAATTCATATCTTGCAATTCTGACTTTATAACACACAATTGCGAATTAAGTCAAAATTGCGAGTTATAAAGTCAGAATTGCGAGATATGAACTCGCAATTGCGTGTTATAAAGTCAGAATTGCGAGATATGAACTCGCAATTCTGAGAATAAAAGTCAGAATTGTGAGATAAAAAGTCACAATTACCTTGTTTTATTTTTTATTTAGTGGCGGAAACGGGCTTCCATAGTATTTAATGTTTTATGTTAAAAATATCAAAACATTATGCATTTGTCACTGCAGGTTAAAGCACTCGTCCCTCTGAGCTGCATTAAACATTGTGTAAATGCATCTAAATGCCAATTCAGATGCAGCTTCTGTGTTTCCTCTGCATTGCAAAGATTTATTTTGTTGATACTGATTTCATTTGATTGGTAACAGCCCAAATGTCTTATTATTCTAATTGACTGTTTAAATGTAAGAATTTGACACAAACGATGATGCACACTTTTAGAAAAAAATGGCTGTATAAAGGTAAAAATGCCTAGAAAAAGGTACAAATTAATTTAAGCTTATTGGAAAAGATTAATTTCTATCACTGTTGAGAACTGACCACCACACAGAATATGAAGAATATCGAAAACTTTACATAGTAGTCAATAACACACTCATAACACAAATATCTTCTAATTACCATTATCGATAAAATCCCAGAAAATATTGAGATATCATTGTCAATATCGCACACCCCTATCTGGGACAAGTAGATTTTTTAAAGGGGCAAGTAAGAGAGAATTTCACTTGCCCGACAGGACAAGAAGCCTGACTAAAACATCAATAGCAAAAATAACTAAGTAAGCACTGAAACTTGGGAAACAAAAAATTTTGCGCCAGAATGATTCTTATTTTATTGCATTCAGTGTAAACGGCGACTGATGATGATGTACAGTATTTGTCGTGCCAGATGAAGCTCGCTCAGCCTATTCTAGAGTGAGAAAGAGAGACTTGTGCAAAAATCAGAACATATGAGCGCAACAGCACATACAAAGGAACTCACAGAACGTTATAGACGCATACTACGGTAGAAAAAAAAAAGATTTATAACATATGATATAGGTAAGCAACATTACACGACCAAGATGTTTCCCCGAATATCAATGCAAAAGTGACACTGATTTTAGACACAATATTGACTGTCTTTGTTTAATTTCGCTGATGAAAATAGTTCCAATCAAAGCCACAGCAGAACTGTTTTATGTCTCCGAGCAACACAGCGGTGTTTCGTTACTGAATGAATCCACGGTTTTGAACGAATCAAGTAAGCCAATGATTCAACCCCATGAACCCATTCATACAGACAGTCAGGCCCTGTCCCAAATGGCACACTTCATGTGCACTTTCGGTCTTGAAGACTTTCAATGGCCGCTGCGTGCGCGTGTCTGTTAAGTCCATGAGACTGTAGGGCGTCCCATTTGTCATTTAGCTTTCAGAAGGGTGCTCGCGAGCGCCACCTTTCTTTTTCTTTGCAATTTTGTGGTGTAAATGCATTAATTGCACCCCAGCTTTATTAAACAGTAAATACATCTAATGCCACGTCAGATGCAGCTTCTGTGCTTTCTGCAGTAGAAAGATGGAGTTTGTTGATACTGATTTCATTCGAATAGTAACAACTCTACAGTTTCTTATTATTCTAACTGAATTAATTGAAACAATGTAAGAATTTGATGTGGAAGATGACATTTAATAAGGATAGGGGAAAAAATGACCATTTATAAACACAGTGGGAAATGATTTTTGTGTGTATATACTGTCAACTATAGTTCTTAAAAACAAAATCGGAATTGGCAGGTCACACTTAAAAAAAAAAAAATTGGAAATCGGATTTGACCACACAGGCAATCGGTGCATCTCTAGTTGAATGAAATAAAGCTGAAAATATAAAAATTAAACAAAACTTAAATGAAAATTAGAAGTGCTTTGCCATCTAAGTGAAAATAAGTTTAAGATGAAGTGCTAAAATTACTAAAACTATAAATGAAATTTAAAAAAGCAAAATAGAAATAAAAAATAATAATAAAATAACAAAAGAAATTAAACTACAAATCTAAAAATAAAGAGATAATTTAAAATGTGTAATACAATAACAGTGTATAAA